ATCTCTCTCTCTCTCTCTCTCTCTCTCTCTCTCTCTCTCTCGGAGTCGAGAAAACGAGAGTAGCACAGCAGCTGATGAGCCATCTCCCTTCCCTCTGCTCACTGGGCGCGTACTAACCTTCTCCCTACAGTTTGATTCGAGTACGGTGACAGGAGGAGGGGAATAGGACTAAGAAGTCGGCAAAAGAATCCATCTTTGTGCAATGTGGAAACTAAGGACGAGGGAGAAGAAGCGGCGGCGGCAGAAGGAGAAGAAGCAGGCCCCATTTCGCACCATTTCGGCGCGTGGGCAATGCCAACTTTTGTCGCTTTAAATGTCGACAGAGGCGACGTGATGGGAGCAATGGCAAAGGTCGCGACTTTCTTCGACATGGTTGTGTCCCCTCCTCGCCTTCGAGTCGGAGCAGAGTAGAACAGCCGAGAGGAAGGAGAGGTGAGGTGGGCGACGGGAATGGGAAAGGAGGGGGAAGGGGCGCGGAAGCTGGTGTTCGGGAAGTACGAGATGGGGCGCGTGCTCGGAAAGGGCACGTTCGCGAAGGTGTACTACGGCCGCGAGATCAGCTCTGGCGAGAGCGTTGCCATCAAGGTGATCGACAAAGAGCGGGTAAGCCGGGAAGCCGGAATGATGGAGCAGATTCAGCGGGAGATCGCGGTGATGCGCATGGTCCGCCACCCCAATGTGGTGGAGCTTCGGGAGGTGATGGCCACCAGGTCGCGCATCTTCTTCGTCATGGAGTACGTCCGTGGCGGCGAGCTACTTGCCCGCGTCGCCCGTGGCCGCCTGCCTGAGGACCTGGCCCGCCGCTACTTCCATCAGCTTATCTCCGCCGTCGACTTCTGCCACAGCCGCGGTGTCTACCACCGCGACCTCAAGCCCGAGAACCTCCTACTCGACGGGCACGGCGACCTCAAGGTCTCCGATTTCGGCCTCTCAGCGCTCCCCGAGCAGCTCCGCCACGACGGCCTCCTCCACACCCAGTGCGGAACCCCCGCCTACGTCGCGCCGGAGATTCTTCGCCACCGCGGCTACGACGGCGCAAAGGCCGATCTCTGGTCCTGCGGCGTCATCCTTTTCGCCCTACTCTCTGGGTACCTCCCCTTCCAAGACGAGAGCTTGACGGCGATGTACTGCAAGGTGTTCAAGGCGGAGTACCGAATCCCGCCGTGGTTCTCCAGAGAAGCCCGCCGCCTCGTCTCCCGCCTCCTCGTCGTCGATCCCGAGAAGCGCATCTCCATCACGGCAGTAATGCAGCACCCGTGGTTCAAGAAAGGGTCTCGGGGCCCGGCTCCGATCCAAATCCCTCCGCCACCGCCAAAGGCGCCAGAGGAAGAGGAGGAGGACAACCCAAGGACTCCGAGATTCTACAACGCGTTCGAGCTCATCTCCTCCATGTCCTCGGGCTTCAATCTCTCGAGCCTATTCGAGAGCCAGCGGAAGGCGGGGACGGTGTTCACATCGCGGTCGCCCGCGTCGGCGATCGTGGAGCGGCTGGAGGGAGTAGGGCGAGCCCTCGGGTTCGGCGTGCAGCGAACCAAGTCGTACAAGGTGAAGATGGAGGGGAAGGCGGAGGGGCGGAAGGGGCGGCTGGCAGTAGCCGCGGAGGTGTTCGAGGTGGCGGCGGGAATAGCAGTAGTTGAGTTTGCCAAGACTTCGGGGGACACGTTGGAGTACGCCAAGTTCTGCAACGAGGGCGTGCGGCCGGGGCTAAAAGACATCGTTTGGACGTGGCAGGGCGATGACACAGCCTCCGTCGGCGGCGCAACCAACGGCGACGTCTCCTTCTAATTCTTCCATGCAAATAACTGTCGTTTTAGCTCTGTGTAAAAATGGGGAAGAAAAAGAATTCATGAAAATGCTGAGGCGGTAATTCTATGATTTTTTATCTTATTATATATATATTTTCTTGTACTAAATATTTTTTAAAATGATTTTTATTAGCTATAATAATATTTTTACGAGAACAACTGATGATAAAATAACTTTGTAAAGTAAAAACTTTTGATGATCAAAGTGAAAAAGGTGTTCAATTAAAGAATTGGAAGGTAAATTTTTTTACTGAAATGAACTCTGAATGTCTGTAATTTAATTAAGGATAATAAACTAATCAAAGTCATTCCTATTACTTAATGACACTAGAAAGCCGACAAATAACAGACGGACCAAGTGGGCCCCCTGGACTCCAGCCGGGACCCAACGCGATGCACTCCCATGGAGCAGAGAAGACCCGACCCGACCCGACCCGCAACGTGAACCCGGGCCGCAAACGCGCCGGAGAGGACCCTCCTCGTCTCACCAACCAGAGTTCGCCATGCAGCCTCTCTTCCCCGGGCTTAACCGCTGCTAGCGGTGCACCAGAAACGCGTGACGCCACACTATTTCGCCCTCATCTCTTTCCTTTTCTTTCTCGTCCTCTTCCCTTCGTTGCCTCCTCCTCCGCCATCTCCATGATCGGACCTCTTTGAGGGCCGGCTGATGCCGCGTCCTTAGTCACCACCGCCCGCGCTTTCCCCTCCCCTCCCCTTTGATCCCAAGAATACGATCCCTTCTTCGTCCTCTGATCCGATCCCTCAAACCCTAAATCCCCTCTCCGCGTCCTATCTAGATCGATCTATTGGGGTTCTTAATCTTGATTGATGTTGGTGCGATGTCGTCGATCCTTCCCAAGAGCGAGACTGTCGAGATTCGCGAGGTGTGGAGCGACAACCTGGAGGCGGAGTTTTCCCTGATCCGCGAGATCGTGGATGATTTCCCCTACGTGGCCATGGACACGGAGTTCCCCGGCATCGTGTGCCGACCCTTGGGATGCTTCCGGACCAGTTCCGACTTTAACTATGCCACCCTCAAGGCCAACGTCGACATGCTTAAGCTGATCCAGCTCGGCCTCACCTTCTCCGACGAGCTCGGCAACCTCCCCACCTGCGGCACCGACCGCGGCTGCGTATGGCAATTCAACTTCCGCGAATTCGACATGCAGTTGGACGTCTTCGCGACAGACTCCATCGAGCTCCTCCGCCAGAGCGGCATCGACTTCAAGAAGAACAACGACAAAGGGATCGACGCCCACCGCTTCGGCGAGCTCCTCATGTCGTCGGGTATCGTGCTCAATGACTCCATCTACTGGGTCACCTTCCACAGCGGGTATGACTTCGGCTACCTTCTTAAGGTGCTCACTTGCCAGAACCTCCCCGACACCCAGGCCGGCTTCTTCAATCTCATCAGGATATACTTCCCGACCGTGTACGACATCAAGCATCTCATGAAGTTCTGCAACAGCCTCCATGGGGGGCTCAACAAGCTCGCCGAGCTGCTTGATGTTGAGAGGGTCGGGATCTGCCACCAGGCTGGTTCCGACAGCCTGCTCACGTCGTGTGCTTTCAGGAAGTTGAAAGAATCTTTCTTTAGTGGCTCTACTGAGAGATATGCAGGCGTGTTATATGGGCTGAGTGTTGAGAATGGACAGACTGCTCATTGAGCCAAGAAAAAGCAAGGAAAATAAAAAGTGAATTATTAAAAAGGCTCCTCTGCTGGCATACAGAAGCCTTGATCTCTCATAATTACCTTATATCTTATTGTGCATTGGGATGTAGATTCTTAGTATTCTAAGCATCCATTTTGTGCAAATTTGAATAGTCTAAACTGCTCTAACTAAATTTCCTAAACATTAAGCATGGGTGTCCTGCCAATGACATGGGATAGTGTCCTCTTCAATAGGACCGGCCATAGGGAAACTATTTCTAGGTATGCATCGATTTTTCGTTGAGGTGACACAACTAATGCAGTTTATAGATTCAAGATAAGTTATAGTTGTTTCTTTCCCCTCCCTTTTAATATAGCTCCTTTTGTAAAGCTTGTAAGGTATTTTATTTCCTTGTGCATGTCTAAAGCTGTTGCGGTAAGAAACTAGAGAAGCAATAATTGACCTTTCAGTTGATACCTTATGGGTAACTTGATATCACTGAGCATGTTGATCCCCTTCATCTCAGTGTCTTCTCATTTCAGAAATTTTGGAGGTTTCTCAATGGTGGGATATGCTTAAGGTTAATAGTATCATGTAGGTTTGATGAAGTGCTTGTGTCATCCTAAAATATATCTGAACTCTAATTCCAGGCCTTCTGCATGCACTTTTTTATGCTATACAGAAGAGCATTGCTTCCTACTTAAGACCTTGTTGTTTTCCCTTATGTTCTTTTGAGAAGATCAGAGGGTAGCTTTTCCCTTGTGGGAGTTCAATT